GGGGGAGCATCTGCAAAAACGGACCATACTCTACTGACTGTGGAGAGATAACAGATGGTTGTTACTTGCTGGAAACAAAAAGTTTGGTGTGGTATCGCATTTAATAGTAGGGGGATCTGGGGGTATTCATCCACAGAAAATATTTGTATTTTTCTACCCCTAGGACTGCAATTCCTGCATTTATTTAAACAGATTTTTGGAGATACAGCATTTCATTATGGTGTAGATAGACTGAACCTTCAGTGAACTGTACTTACATCGTATGTTTATGTAGTACGACAACTCGGTTACTCAGGGGGCCACTTAAATGGACCGATGCGCATGAGGTGCCAAAATTTTGAAAATTTTGCGTCTCTAGATCGTCGGAAATGGCACTTTGAATGTCTTCTCTACCTCTTTTGTTAGGCCCTTTCATTAATTCTTTCATTACGATTTGGAAGTTTATGTTATCCGTGAGTCAGGATGGATTATTTTGAGAAATGTTGTTGTTAAAATATCGATTCCAGATTTCAAATACTTCCAATTTCAAATTCAATTGGTTTTTTTTGGTGGGGACAAAAAATATTCCGTTCCCCCTCTTTATAAAACAATGGGTTGGGGGCCCGCTGGCCCCTACTTCCTACGCCCCCTGGGTTCACTAACTTGTTTATTCGAGCCTTCCTTATAGGGTCTAGGAAATGCAATCCACTGGAAAATGTTTAAAATCCAATAACGTATTTACAACACAATGTTTCGCATTAAAGATAAAAGACAGGCCATAAGATTCACAAAGCAAATTTCAGTTACTAGAATACCAAACCTCCCTTCTAAATTCCATGTTTTGCTTATACTTTAGAGAAAAGGCACTTTGACTGGAGGGGCCAAAACGGTTCAATGAGGGGGACCACCATGGGGGCTGGGAGGTCTTTGGTCCTCCCAGTTACATAGTTAAAAAATGCCCTGCAGTGTCTAAAGGTATAAACAATTTCTGAGAAATAATGTTTTAATTAACCTGCATGTAAATACCGTTTTACAGTTATTCCGTAGCTACAATACAAATTTTTTATTTCGCTATTTTCTTGTTCATTTTAGTTTTATGGTACTGGTATATACTAAAACAATTATTCACCGCAACACACCTGAAGGAACATAGTGGATACTGCTGACTCGTGTGAGACTGGAAGATACAGAAACTGAGTTCTTTCCGTCTACCTTGATTGGAAAAAAATGTTGCTGCGTCATATGCTGTGATGAACATTTGCCGAACTGTAGAGGTTGTTGAGGTTATTTGATAACTTTCGCCAACCGGAATCATAAAACGCTGATGTGTTTCATTAGGATGAGTCGTTATAATTGTCACATTTTTCCCATAACGGTTCACAATTGTCACATCCAAGTGGTAAATGACTAAGATGTTGTCAAAAAATTATAACAGAAAATTAGATTATATAGCTAGGTTAATGTGGGAAAATTGGGGGGGGGGGGGTTTCAAACCAGGACAAATTTTTAATTCTTCCAATGCCGAGGAGAAACTGGGGTGAAGCGTGTAATGCTTTCACTCATGGCATAAAATATACTAAACCTGTGGCTTTTCATAAAATGCGCGTACGTGTCTAAATGCACGAAATAGCGTTTCGCAGACCCTTAAAATAGAAACATTTTTCTGGGCACCATGCGCCCGGACTACCGGACCCTATAGTTCTGTGTATTTGGCGATTTGATCCCACCTACACTCGTTTGCGCTGGCTACACCCCTCGTATTAAATACTTGAAGTCCAAATGTTTCAGTGTGCACATTATCAGATTCCAAATTTGAAAATCCATGTTTTCAGTACTCATGGCATTGATCTGTTAATTATAGATGCCGAATGCTAAGCTCAAAGCCTCCTCCACAAGCATCTTGAACGTTATACCTAGCTACTTACCATACCTGAATGGTTCGTGCTGTGTTTCGAATGTCGATCGGAACAGTTTTTTAGCGCGCAACAAGACAACAAATTCAACCTGCCTTCGGCCCAGTGACTAATAGTATTATTGTCGCCACGTAGA